AGGGATCCTTGAAATCACAAGGAAGCCTTGCTCCTAGGAGACAGAACTCTTTCCAAGGCATTTTAGAATTCATTAGGTACTTGCTGGTTTGGGTCATACAATCTTGTACTTGGGGAATTTTTTTTAGCTAAGGCAATTAGCCTCCAAAACTTCAAGCTGCCTCCACAGAATGTTTTTCAGATGAGATAAATCATAGTATTTGAGAGAAAAGGAAGAAAAAGAGATGGAAAAAACTGGAACTACCCAAAATAAGGAGAAAAAGAAGCACATGCAAATTGTTCAAGTTGTAATAAGAGAAATAAATCTTCCTAGGGAAGAACAACTGCCAGGTAACAAACAGGAAACACTGAGTGGAATCAAAGGGCCCCATATGACAGACTAGTGACTTGTAGGTAATGTAGAAACTCTCAAATTCTCATGTATAATGGCCTCAGAAAGAATACTGGGTCCAATGACTTTTGGTGTGAGGGTGACTATCAGTGATACGGAATCCCCTTGAGAGCAGTTTGCTGAGTGTTGGTACCAGAGCACGAGAGAGAATTTCAGAGTTGATTTTTAGAGACCATCTAGTGCAGGCGATCCTTAACTGCCCTGGTGTCTCAAGACTCCTTTTGGCAGTGTGGCAATGCCCATGTGTCCATTCTCAGAATCATATTTTCAAATGTGTAAGATACATAGGATTACAACGGAAACCAATTAGGCTTAAATGGAGTTATCAAAATAATAATAATTTTTTTAAAACCTAAAGTGAAGTACCTCTGATCTTGTCCAACCTCCTCCTATTGCAGATGAGAAAACTGAGGCCCAGAGAAATTAAATAACTTGCTTTATGGTCACATAAGAAATAGAAGTAAGATTTGAATCCAGAAGCTCTGACTCTAATTATAGCACATTTTTTTAATTAAAAGAAATTAACATTCATTTTAACATTTTGAGTTCTAAAATCTCTCCTGCCACTCCACCCATTGAGAAGGCAAGCAGTATGATACCACTTACACATGTGAAGTCATGCAAAATCGATTTCAATATTAGGCATGTTGCCAAAAAAAAAAGCAAGAAAAATAAAGTAAAGTGAAAAACAGCGTGTTTCACTGTGCATTCAGAGTTTATAAGTTCTCTCTCTGGAGATGGATAGCACTGTTCATTGTATTGATCAGAGTAGCTAAATCTTTCACAATTGATAATCATTTCAATATTGCTGCTACTACACACAATGTTCTCCTGGTTCTGCTAACTTCACTTTGCATTACTTTATTTAAGTTTTCTTAGCTTTTTCTCCCTCCCTCGTCATTTCTTATAGCACATAGTATTCCGTCATAATAATTTAGCACAACTTGTTCAGCCATTTGCCAATTGATGGGCATTCCCTCAATTTCCAATTCTTTGCCTCTACAAAAAGAGTTGCCATAAACTTTTTTGTTCATATAGGTCCTTTCCCTTTTTTGTTAATCTCTTTGGGACACAGACCAAGCAGTGGTATTGTTGTGTCAAAGGGTATGCAGTTTTACAGCCCTTTAAGTGTAGTTGCAAATTGTTCTTCGGAGTGGTTGGATGACTTCACAACTCCTCCAATACATTACATTAAGGTATCTGTTTTTCCCCATCTCCTCCAGCATTTGTCATTTTCTTTTGTCATGTTAGCCAAGCTGATAGATGTGAGGTGGTACCTCAGAGTTCTTTTTAATCTGCATGTCTTCAGTCAATAGTAATTTAGGCTATTTTCCCCCTATGATTATTTATAGTTTTGATTTCTTCTTCTGAAAACTGCCTGCATATCCTTTGACCATTTATCAATTGGGGAATGGTTCTTATTTCTATTAAGTTGGCTCAGTTCTCTATAAATTTGAGAAATGAAGCCTTTATTAAAAAAACTCGATGTAAAACACTCCCTGCCTCAGTTTCCTGCTTTATTTCTAATTTTGGCTATATTGGTTTGATTTGTACAAACCCTTTTTAATTTGATGTAATCAAATTTATCTAGGATTCTTTCTACCTCTTCTCTGGTCATAAACTCTTCCCTCATCAATAAATCTGACAGGTAAATTTTTCCATGATCTTTTAATATCTTCATGATATCACTCTTTCTGTCTAAATCATGTATTCATTTTGATCTTATATGGTCTGAGATGGTGGTCTATACCTAGTTTCTACAAGACTTCTTTCCAGTTTTCTCAGAAATTTTTGTCAAATAGTGAGTTCTTGTCCCCAAATCTTGGATCTTTGGATTTACCAAACATTAGATTACTATAGTAATTTACTACTGTATATTTTGTACCTAACCTATTGCACTAATCTACTCTTTTATTTCTTAGCCAGTATCTGATTGTTTTGATGATTACCTCTTTGCAATGTAGTTTGGAATTAGGTACTGCTAGGCCACCTTCCTTCACATTTTTTTTTCATTGATTCCCTTCGTATTCCTGACCTTTTGTTTTTCCAGATGAAATTTATTATTATTTTTTCTAGCTCTATGAAATAATTTTTTGGCAGTTTGACTGTTACGGCACTGAATAAGTAAATTAATTGAGGCAGAATATTCATTTTTATTATATTGGCTCAGCCTACCTATGAGCAATTAATAGTTCTCCAATATTTTTGTAAATGTGTTCATATAGTTCCTAGGTATGTCTTGTCAGGTAGACTCTCAAGAATTTTATACTCTGCAGTTGTTTTATTTTATTGAATTTCTCTTTCTATCTCTTCCTGCTGGGTTTTGTTGGTAATATACAGAAATGATGATGCTTTATGTGGGTTTATTTTATATTCTGCTACTTTGCTAAAATTGTTAATTGTTTCAACTAGTTTTTTTAGTGGATTTTCTAGGGTTCTCTTAGTGTATCATCACATCATCTTCAAAAAGTAATAGCTTTGCTTTTTCATTGCCTACTCTTATTCCTTCAATTTATTTTTCTCCTCATTGCTATAGCTAGCTTTTTTTTAGTACAATATTAAATAGTAATGGTGATAATGGACATCCTTGCTTCACTCCTGATCTGACTGAAAAGGCTTTTAATCTATCCCGATGAAAGATAATGCTTGCTCTTGGTTTTAGATAGATACTACTTATTTTAAGAAAAGCTGTATTTATTCTTATGCTTTCTAATGTTTTTAATAGCAATGGTATTGTATTTTCTTAAAAGCCTTTTTTGCAAATATTGCTATAATCATATGACTTTTGTTGTTTTTGTTATTGATATGGTCAATTACACTTAGAGTTTTCTTACTACTGAACCAGCCCTGCATTCATGGTATAAATCTCACCTGGTCATAGTGTATGACCTTTGTGATATAATGCTGTAGTCTCCCTGCTAGTATTTTATTTAAAATTCTTTTGCATCATTATTCATTAGAGAAATTGTGTGGTCTATACTTTTCTTTCTCTATTTTTGCTCTCCCTGGTTTAGATATTGAAACCCAAATATAGCACTCTTTCAAGAGCGCTAGGCAGTCCTCATTACATTTGAGGACTAAAGAAAATCTTCAAGAAGAATAAAGGCTTGCAATTAACAGTAGTGGGGAAAATTAATGAAATTAATAAAAAATTTTGTTACTTGATAAAAAAATTTTTAAAAAGCAAAAAATTTGCATAATGTAGCTTAATTAAATCTAGCATAAAGGATGCCACATACATATTTAGATCTGTCATCCTTAGATCTGCTTCTAAGTAAAATAGTAATGGAATAAGAAGAGCATTTTTCCTTCACTTAGCTTCTAAGGCAACTGAAACATTAAATCATGGGAGGGCTAAAAGGTACATTCAAAGTTATTTAATCTAAGCTCCCACCTGATGCAGGAATCCTCTCTACAGCATTCTTACCATTTTTGTCAATCTCCAAACACTTCCAGTGATGGGTAAGTAAATGACTTATATCTACAGCACATTCCGTTCACGACTAATTATAATGAATTGAATGTTGCTATTTATATTAAGCTTTAATTTAATCTATAGAACTTCTACCTTCTTGGTACTGTCAAACACATGAACTTAAGAAACTGGTATGATTTTATTAATGGGCCTGGAATTAAAGATGTGTGACCATATGGTTTGCCACTACATCCTGAGGAGCCCTGGGCCTTTCCATCTGACTTGCAGCTGAAATTTCCTTCCTGTATATCGTTTCCCCCTATTGGAATGTGAGCCCACTGAGAGGAAATATTGTCTTGTCTTTCTGTTTGTTGCCCAGGGAATAGTTGAGTGTTATAAATGGTTAAGTGATCAATAAATGCTCATTCATTCATTCATTTGTGCCTAGATGCCCAGCATGCCCCTCCTTCTTTATCACCAGTTCTAAGATGGCCTGGTCTCTTCCTCCCCAGGTTCCTGATAATTCTGTTTCACTAGGCAGGTCATCCTTTGTGTATCCAGGTGGTCAGAACTGTCCCCTCTCCCTGCAATTATTTCCTCTGTCTTCTGAGAAATGAAATTGTCAATAGGACAGATCAAGAATCAATCTACTTTTAGCAACCTGACTTCCAGCTCAAGTCCAAGGGCAGTTGAAGTCCCCCAATGATGCTCTATCATTTGTCTCTGTGCCAGGTTTCTATATCTGTAATTCAGCATCAGATTCTTCCATTACAGTGGGTAGTCAATAATATATTTCCACAACAATAATATTTCTCTTTTTCTCATTTCACCCTTTCCCTTACGTTCTCCAACCTATTTCTCCTGTCAAGTTTGTGAATTTTCACAAGATGTATAGCAAAATGGTACTTTTGTTATTGAGTAGGACATCTTAATTTAGGGTCTTTAGAGGAGTAACTCAACCTTTTTTGAATCATAGATCTCTGGCAATCTGGTAAAGCCTAAGGACCCCTTTGCAGAGTAATGTTTTTAAATGCATAAAATAAGATATGTAGGATTACCAAAGGAGCCAATTCTGCTGAAATACAATTACCAAAATATTTTTTAAAATGAAAAATTTTCACAGAACCACAGTGAAGCTTAGTCTTGTTCTAAGGTAACCAAATCAACACATGCTTGTTCTTTTATCTTTCCTTACCTTACGGACATGGCAGGAAAACAGAATGTTCATGTATTTGTCCTTCCGTTTTAGTTCATTGGCCACAGGGACAAAAGTGCCTGTGGTCTGAGGTGTGTCTGGCTTCTGGAAAGAAAAGTAAAGCAGAATAAGCTGAGGTGGAGATTGATGAGAGGATGGGTAGAGATAGCTGAGGCATGGGGTCTGTAATGCCTCACAAATATTCACTATTACCATTTACCACACACACACACACACAAAATAACAACTCCTTCTGATATACTTCTTTGTAACAACATTCATGCCACTTCATTCACGTCTCTTTTTGGTCTTCCCACTTAGACTCTAAACTCTGCAAAAGTCAGTGGAAGTCCAAGTTGAGAGAGGTCTCCTGGGCCAGGGGTTCTCCACCCTGCTTGTGTCATGAACCCCTTTGGCAGTCTGGCCAAATCTATGGACCCCTTCTCAGAATCGTGTTTTTTTTTTAATTCAAAATTGAAGGGAATAGTTGTCATGGTTGTGAAAATAAATGTAATTTTTTTTTCGCTACCCAAGTTAATGGACTCTATGACATCAATCCACAGACCCCAGGCCTAGATACCTTGTTTTAGGCAGACATAGGGAGAGGGTCAGAAGTCACAGATGTAGATCTGTAACGGTGGAGTAATTTATATATGAGTAATAACTGAAAGAGAGAGCAGACTCCCTAAGGAAGTAAATAAAGAGGAAGAAGAAAAAGGGGTCATTGATGCTCAGAAGAATACTGATAAATATGCATGTGTCATAGTGATCAAATTTTTTTTAAAGGTGGTGAACCTGAAAGGCAGCTAGGTGGCGCAGTGGAGAGAATGCCAGGCCTGGAGTCAGGAAGACCTGAGTTCGAATGTGAACTCAGACACTTACTAGTTGTGTGACCCGTAGCAAGTCACTTAACCTTGTTTGCCTCAGTTTTCTTATCTGTAAAATAAGCTGAAGAAGGAAATGGCAAATGACTCCACTATCTTTGCCAAGAAAACCCCAAATGGGGCCATAAAGAGTCCAACAGAACTCAAAATGACTGAACAACAATGAAGGATTTACCAAACACAGTATGTTTGAGGTATACGTTAATTTAGCAAATTTTCACCTTAAGGAAAATCTGTCAAATTATTTAAGTTATTTTCTTTCAACAGTTTCTCAGAGAAAAAAATGTATGTGTGTGTGTATGTGTGTGCGTGCGTGCGTGCATTCATGCACATAAGCGAGTGCATGCAGAAAAAGGGCAGATTTCCATTTCCATCACTATACTCACTGCTGCCAGGTAGTTTCCCTCCCAGGCTCTCTGGAGGCCAAGGTCAGCTCTGTGACCTTTCAGCATCTCCATGGCAGCAACCTTTGCCCTCACTTGGGGCAAGTCTGCAGGGGGGATGCTCCGGATAAGCTGGGCTGCTCTCCATCTACAAGAAGATCAGAAAAGATGGAATACATATCAAAATGACATTCTTGTGACCTTTGGCAAGATCTCTCCGTTCCTAGAACAATTAGATTTCACATTACACAGGGTGAGTCAAAGACACCTGTCCTCCTCCTATCCTGAAAAGGGAATACTAGAGGCCCCTTTGAAACTTATGGTAACTTCGACAAAACACAAGCAGCTGGAGTCAATAAGTATTTACCAACTGCCTACTAGGTTCAAGATATTATCCTTCTTTCTCATAAATAAATATAGATACATCATAATGAGAAAAGGGCAGAAGGAGAATCAAATGGAGAATCATGGCAGTGGGAGAGGGAAGGATCTCATGTAACTGGTGAGATCAGGGAAAATTTCATAGTGACAGAGCTAGTTCTCCAAAGCAGAGAAGGAATTCAGCAGGCAAAGATAAAGAGGGACTCTCTGCAGAGGTGGGGGAAGGATGTGCAAGTGCACAGAAGTAGCAAGGACCGTTCTAGGATGGGGAATGCCTCATAGTACAGTGTGGCTAGATGATAGAATCCATAATGAGAGACAGTGTGAAACAAGGCCATAAAACTATGTCGGAGTCATATCACGATTATCAGAGAAAGAAGTCTGCATTAAGTCTGTGGGCAGTGAGGAAACAGAATGTTCTGGACCAAGGGTGATGTGATCAGGCATGCATTAGGAAAATTATTTTGGCAGTGCGCATTGTGAAGGACAGAGTGAAGAAGGAAGAGGCGTGGGGCAGGGAGGGCAATGAGGAAGTCGATAGCATAGTCTGTGTGAGAGGTAAGAAAGGAGTGATTCAGGAGGGGAGCAATCAGGATAGAAAGCCAGGAGAGGATATACATGCCAAACAACAGGTACAAATTTAACGGCTGTGGGAATTAAAATGAACAAGAGATTACATGGACAAATGTTTATGTGAAAATGATGTTGCTTAAGGCTTGAGTGTTTGGGGTAGAACAAGCACCTGGTCAGTAGTATAGGACCTCTGACAGTATTTATAATGGAAGGATAGATTGAGAAGGGACTTTAAAGGACATTGAATACAACTCTTTCAATTTGTAGTCAAGGAAACTGAGGCTTGGGGTTGTGGAGGGTTACATGTCTAGCAAATGTCAATGACAGGACATGACCTCTCTGGACTCTAAGTCTATCCACTGAATCCCCAGGCCATCTGCTTTGCTCGGTGCACAGAATCTTTGGACATACTTACGGAATATCATTTTGTTCTTGCTACTTAGACAAGAGAAAATAGAGGTAATGAGTAGAAGCTTTCATACACACACACACCCCCTTTTAAATGCCATCTCTTTTTCAAGTTTCCACAGGTCTAATCTTTACATTGACAATCCCCATTTGGGGCATAGCCTCAAGCCCCATTATAGTTACTCTGGATGCTATCTCTTGGATAAGGATTTGATATGATCAAGGTGATTCTGTAGCTGGGTTTGGACAACTTAGGGTGCTCAGATGGCCACTCACACTTTGAGGAAGGTTTCTGAACTCAGTGACACATGACAGTTGACCTGGAAAACTAGCACCAAGAGTTGTTTTTCTCACAAGGGGAAACATCTCCAGAAGAAACTATAGCCAATGCTTATTTCTGTTCCTGTGCCTTCATTGGCACAGCTCGTGCTCAGTTTACATTCAATGACTTCTTTTTCAGAATAACGACAGCTGTTTTCATTGCCTCCAGAGCATCCTGGGGCTCCATAACACAATGTATGCCTCCCCGAAGGAGCTTTAATGCTTAGCTATCCCACTGTCAGCAGGACACGTTCGGAAGCTTTCTTCTTTGGTGATTATTAGAGGTGAAGCTAAGCCATGTTTTGGCACTCATCTGACATACCTATAACATCAGTGATAGCACTGGAAGCAGAAGATTCTGCCATACCATTTATTTGAATCAGAGTTGCCAAAACACCAGAGAGGAAGAATTTGAAAGGTGACTTTTGCATTAAGAGACTGGGAGTAAAGAGTTGAAAATTCCCTTCTGCTTAACTAATGCTCTATATTAGGATTGAGACTTCAGGTGATATACAACTAGATTCAAAAACATTCCACAGAGAAAAGAGATTAAGGGAGCCAATAGATAATTGTCATGTTCTCAAAGTAATAGACTGGAAATCCCTAACAGATCAATAATTAATCTTCGGGTTTTTTGAGTTTAGCTTACTATACTTTGCATCTCCTATGAAGTAGCACTAGTTCCTTTATTTCCTAAAAATCTAAGATGTGCTTTGGTGTTTACTGTTAATACCCATTTCCTTGAGGAATAATATTCTATACTCGTGCTCCCAATTAAATTACTTTGACTTCATGACAGAAATGATGGACTAATACACAAAATAAGAATAAGAGATGCATTTTCAGATTGTCCTACGTGAGAATGTTTTGCTTGATTGTGCTCATATGATACAGAGGACCCTCCCCCCTTTGTTTCCATCCCAGCAGTTAAAGAGAAGTGGTAGGAGAAAAATGAATGCTTGATCATTGTAAAAAATAAAAAAGACATGTATGAACAACATATAGCATTTTTCTTCAAAGGCAGTACAGGTGTTGTTATTCCCATTTTTAACCAATGGGGAAACTGAAGGTCACAAATATTAAGTGACTTGCCCAAGGTGATACAACTAACAAGTGTTGGAGCCTGCCTTCAAGAATATCTCTTTGCACTATGTTACACCATCAGTGTCCAAGGACTTATTATACTGGACATTAAGGGAATTAGACAGGTTGATACCTGCAGGGGGGTTGCTCAGTCCTAATGTAGTTATGATAGAAATAGTTTAAATCAGTTTTCTATTTTAAACAATCTTGTTTCAATGTTGTGGTTTACCTTGTTCTTTTCTGTTTAATGCTGGTGGTCCCTTTAACATGTAACTGAGGCATTTTGTATTCCACATTTTCAAATTTCAAATTTTGTATTTCAAAATTCAGGACCATTAGAAAAATAAATAATTACCATATGTAAATAAACTTCAACCTAAGCAGCAGCTTCCATGAGAGAATAACAAAGGGGAGAAAACCAAGAGTAAAATGGAAAGATTTCAGGCTGAGGTAGAACAGTCCAGGGATTGTCATGCTGTCAGTGGCACTGCACCAATACTTAGCTCTCTGCCTTCTCTTTCTTCTGCTTCCACATGTTTAATTCAATTTTTTCCAATTCAACAAACATTTTCAAACATCTATTCTGTGTAAAGCATTGTGACAGAGAGAGCTCAGGGAGCAGAGAGGCTAAAAGGCAAGCTACGGCCCTCCCCATGATGAGCTCAAACACAGTAAGCTAGAGAATAGACTGCCCATGGCTAAAACTGAGATAAGCAATCCCAGGGCACACTCAGTTAAATGTGAAGGCTGAGGACAAACCTCCGGAAAGGACTTTTGATCTGAGGCTAAAATTCACAGTAATTTGATAAAGTTAAAGATTAGGAAGAAAGGTACCAAATTGTACTTATGAATACATCTCTTAAAAGCCTGCACTAGAATTCTTTTTTTTTTCATTCAAGTGATTTCAATTTCTCTATTTTAGTCAAGAGTTTGAAGTCTGCTAATAAACCAAGGTACGAGAAAGCATATTAACCTTCTCTTATCCAGAAACAAATGCTATCTGATGGACGTGGCAAGCCACTGCTACCTGGTGGCAGGATACCTAAATTCCAGGTATAGTTATTTTGAGAGGTAAGTAGATCCCCTTCCATTAAATTATCAAATATATTCATTAAGTGCCTACTATATGTAATATATGGCATACTACTATTTTATAGATGATACATAATATTTATATGTAATCTATATATACATATGTATGTATATTTATATATGTATAAATGTTGTATACGTGTGTGTATTTACACACACACACACACACACACACACACACACATACACACAGAGTACCAGGAGCTGCAGGAGACGCCAAGATAAAGAAGAGAGTGCTCCTGCCAACAAGGAGATTACCTGAATCTGGTAAATTTCCATGAAGTGACAATCAGTCAACCATGCCTTATTAAGTATTGACACTATGCTAGGTGCTGGGGATGTGAAGACAAAAATCAATCAATCCATGGGAAATGTGTATACACATATTAACAGATACAAAATATAGATGAAGTAGACCAGAGGTCATTTCAAGCAGGGACAAGCAGCTGGGGGATCAGGATGGGCCTCAGGAATGACACAGTGACTGAAGGAAGCTTGATATTCCAAGGAGTAGAGGCAGAAAGGAGTGCATTCCCAGACCTGGAGAGACAATGTGTTCTCTCTTAGGAGACAAAGTACCGAGTGTTAGAAACAGCAAGAAAGGCCATCGAAAGTAATGAATAATAAATATGAAAGGGTAGACTGAGACCAGACCGTGAAGGCTCTAAATTACAAAAAGAGGAATCGATATGTTATCCAGGAGTTGATATGTTATCCTAGAGGTAACTGGGAGTGACTGAAGTTTCCTGAGCAGGGGAGTGACTTGATTCAACCTGTGCTTTAGAAATATCACTCTGGCAGTGCCAAGGATAGGCTGGAGTCATGGATGCCATTAGGAGGTTATTTCAGTAGTCAAGGAAGGAGGTGATGAGGGTCCAAACTAGAATGTGGCTGTGTGAGTAACTAGTAGGTGATAGATGCAAGAAATACTATGGAAGCAGAATAGACAAGCCTTGCCAATGTTTGATGAGTGAGAGTGAGAAACAGAGGGTAACTCTCAGGTTGTAGACAGAGGGTATTTGAAAAGATGGAGGTGTCCTCAATGGAAACAGGAGAGTTTGGAATAAGGGCGTGTTGTTATTTTTTTTTGGGAGGGGGAAGTGAGGGAAGCTTTATTATTCAATCAATTAATTAAATTAATAATTGATTATCCTGTTTTAGATACATATTGAGTTTGAAATGCCCATAGAAGGCAGGAAATGGATCCAGCACAGAAGGCTGACAGGAGTATCAAGAAAGAAACCCAGAGAGGAAAAAATGCCCAGGAAAAGAGAATGGCCAATGTAGTGTAAAATACTGCTCAGAGTTCGAGACGTACAAAGGCTGAGGAAAAAACCCAACCCAATAACATTTGACTTGGCAATTAGGGGATCATTGGTAACTCTGGAGAGAAAAGTTTCAACTCTGTGACAAAGTCAGAAGCCAGACCATGAGGGGCTTAGAAGTCAGTGAGAGGAGAGCAAGGAGAAATGTGTAGCTCTTTTCTAGGAGTTTGGGTATGAAAGGGAGGAGATAAAGGACAATAGCTTGAGGGGATGGTGAGATTAAAGGGTGGTTTTTTTTTTAAAGGATGGATAAGACCTGGGGATGTTTTTAGTCTTCAGGAAAATGTCCAATAGATAGAGAAGAAAGATTTGAGAGAGAGGAAAGCTTTGGTTGTGGGCTTTATCTGCTAGAAGAGATGAGAGGGGATGGGACCAAGGGTAAAGGGGTTGGTCTTGGTAAAAGAAGGGCCATCTTTTCATCTAAGCTTGGATTAAAAGAAGAGACAATAGGGGAATAATACCAAGAGTTTTTGAGATTTAGAGAATGGGAGAAGAGACAGATATGAATAGTATCTATTTTTTTCAGTAAAGTATAAAGTGAGGTCGTCTGCTAGGGGAGGGAGGAAGTAGGATGATATGGTATGGGAGGTTTAAGGAGAGAAGAGAAGGTTTGGAGCAGCCCTAGTGGGGAATGTGATGTAGAGTCATTTAGGGAGGAGTAAAAAGACTTGCTTGCTACAGGGAATGCCCAGTTAAGATTAGGTAACAAATCTATAGTAGACCTAGTTAGCATGACTGCATGATTTCCTTCGGCTTCATTCAGCAGTACTGCTTAGAAATGGAAGAGGTGATCTTCCATCCAGAGGTAGATCTTGAAGGTAATGCAGGTTTAGGGTTTGGCAAGGTAGGAACACTGAGAGAACAAGAAGGCAAGGCTCTCAAATGAACAGAAGGCTATATAAAGAGGAAACAGTTAGTTCAAGAAAACATTTCAGACCAACACCAATTGTATCATTCATCTTTTGCAAAATACACTTTGTGTCATCACCACTTTTGCATGTTATAGGACACAAAGCAGAGATAACCTTTTTGCTTTGAAAAATGAGAACTAGGTTGATGTAATAAATGGCACCAATATGTTCCTACCTCTGATAAATTGCCTTGAGGGCCTCTTCAAAACAATGCAGAACTTTAGGAGGAGTTGGCCACTTCACATGCTTCCCATAGTCCTTCATGTTCCTAACACCCTGCAAGCGTCTGTTGACCTCCTGGATGTACGCCTTGACTTTGTAACGCCGATGGTACCTGACAATGGTCAGGGCAGCCTTCGTTCTCTTGTATTTTATTCGGGCTATGGTGCCCCTCCACACCTTTATATGTAATAGAAAGAGAAGTGAAAAAGATGAAAATTGTACATTTGAGAGTGGCCATCTTTGAAGTTAAACAGGCATATTCAAGTCATAACAGAATACTACACAGTTGTTATTTGTCATAGATCTTTTGTGGAGGAGTAAAAGAGAGAGATTAACTTTGGGAAATGGAATTGTAAGAAGTTCAATCAATTCTCAATTAGTCATATAAATCATGGTGAGGGGAGAGGAGGAAGACTAGTACCAACAAGCCAAAATTAATTTATATTTATCTTTGGAATATCTCCTGACATTTGAATGAGCACATTGGATTTCCTAAGATTTCATAATATATACTTCCAACAGAATAATGAGATTATGCTGTGCACTGAGGAAGAACTTGAAAGTAGTCATACTTTTCCAATATGCTCTCTAATTCAGTAATCAATGAATCAGCAAACATTAAGTGCCACCGTGTGCCAGACATTGTGCCAGTTATTGGATATACAAAGATGAAAATGAAACAGCCCTTGGCCTCAAGGAGCTTATATTCTATTGATGAAGGCAATATGAACATATACAAGTAAGTATATACCAAAAAATACCAAATAAATGCAAGGTTTTTCTTTTAAAGCTCTAGTTGCTAGGGGGTAAAGGCTTCATGTAGGAGGTAACACTTCTATATTTCTCAATTCATGGTGAGGACAGACGGCATCAAACCTCAAACTATTGCAAATCACTAACTTAAGTTTGACTGCTACCCAGTTCATAGCTCTGGGCAGGATAGAAAAGTTAGAACTAAATGCTTTACTTTATTTTTAAATAATTAATTTAATTTTAGTTTTCAGCATTCACTTCCAGAAGGTTTTAAGTTTTAAATTTTCTCCCCCTCCTTCTTCTCCCCCCTCCCCAAGACAGCGTGCAATCTCATATAGGCTCTACTTACACATTCATAAGTAAATGCTTTACTTTAAAGGGAAAGAATTTTGAGCCTTCTTTTTTTTTGGGGGGTGAGGCAATTAGGGTTAAGTGACTTGCCCAGAGTCACATAAGGTAGTGAATGTTATGTGTCTGAGGCCGTATTTGAACTCAGGTCCTCCTGACTCTAGGGCTGGTGCTCTATCCACCGCGCCACCTAGCTGCCCCTGCGCCTTCTCACATGAGTGACAATGCAAGCCAGAATAAAGACAGATGCTAATGATAACTATCAAAAAGAGATACCATTTTTGCATTTTTGATACTAAAATTTTTTTCTTTTTGATTATTAACTTGACAAATATCAACAAATGTGATTTTTCCTTATATAAATGGCAGAAAAAGATGACCTTATATGACACTGGGCATCAATTATGTGTGTACATACGTACATAAAAGTATAAAATAAATATAATAAAGCACTGTCAATACTGACTGTCCTGCTTGCCCAACTCCTCTTCTGAAGTGCCTCATCTACTCTTCAGATATTGAAAATATTTCATTGACATTCTTCTCTTTTTTCTTCTTCTTCTTTGTTTGGAAGCGCCAGTACAACCATTTCCCTCACCCTAATGGAACTTGCGTAACACCTTCTAAAAGCCTTTCATTTTAACAAATATGTATAGTCAAGAAAAATGAACCTACATACTGCTCATGAATGAGGATATATATCTCATTCTTCACCTTCAATCCATCACCTCTTTGATAAGAGGCAGGAAGTATGATTCATCTGCTCCTTTCATTCATTCTGTGTTAATTCATACAAGTCTACCAAGGTTTCTCTGAATCCATCTTTTTAAATTTATTACAGCAAAAAATGTTTCACTTTGTTCAAAATTAGACCCTTTCCTTTCTAATACCAAAAGCTATTTAGCGATTCTCCAACTAAAGAGCATTTCCTTAGTTTCCAGTTCTTTGCTACAAAAAAAGTACTGCTATAAATATTTTTGCACATCTACATCCTTTCCTTCTTTCTTTGATCTCTGCATATCTATCGTATGTAACACACACACATGCACACGCACACCCACACAGAGTATATATACTAGTGGTGTCACTGGACCAAAGTATATTCATTTTTAATGACTTTCTGGTAAAATTTCAAATTGCTTTCAAGAATGAATGTACCATTTCATAGACCTAACAATACATGAGTGTTCTTATAGTCACATAGTTTCTCCAATAAATAATTTTCCTTCTCTGTCATCTTTGACAGGCTGATGTGTATGAAGTGGAACCTCAGAGCTTCTTAAAATTTGTATTTCTATTATTAATAATTTGAAGCATTTTCTTAAATAATTGTTGATAACTTGGATTTCTTTCCTCTAGAATTGCCTGCTCATATCCTTTGATCATTTATGTGATGGGGAATGGCTCTTATATTTACACACATGCATAAATTAATTATATATCTTAGACATCAGACATTTATCAGAGTAATTTGCTGCAAAATTTTTTCTAGTTCACAGTTAACCTTCCAATTCTAACTGCGTTGATTTAGTTGTGCAAAAACTTTCCAATTTTACATAATCAGAACTGTCAGTTTTATCTCCTCTGATTCCTGGGTTAGTTAAAAACATTCCTTCTATTAATAGAGAAGAAAAATATCTCTTTTTCTTCTCTAATTTGTTTATATACTGTAATCTTTTAGTCATGTATCCATTTGGAGTTTATTATATTGGGAGATACGGTATCAACTGCTGGTCTAAATTCAATTTCTGCTAGAGTGTTCACTAGTATTTCCAGCAGTTTTTGCTGCATCATATATTCTCTGTAGTGAGGTACATGGCTTTATCAAATACTATATTATTACTGCTCCTGGATCTTATATATCAAAGCAATTTCAACGATCAACTTTTCTTTTTTTTTTTTACAACTAATATCAAATAGTTTTGATGATTATTCCACTGTAGCAGTTTAAGATCACTTACTGCTACTTCCCCTTCCCACTTTTTCCACCATTTTCTTTGAGATTCTTTACCTTTTGTTCCTCCAGATGAATTTTTAAATTAATTTTTCTGGTTCTATAACCAATTTATAGTTTGATTGTTATGGTGCCAAATGTATAAATTAAGTATTTTAATTTTTTTCTATATTGGTATAAAACAACTATGAGCAATTGTTTAATTCTATTTCTGTAAAAAGCGTTTTATAGTTATATTTCTATAATTCCTGCATGTGTCTTGGTAGGTGGACTCTCAGATATTTTAAGTTCTCTGTTGTAATTATGAATTACATTTTTTAATATTTTCTTATTGGGTTTTGTTGGTAATGTTGAGAAATTTGTGTAAATTTATTTTATGTCCTGCTACTTTATTAAATTATCATTTTAATTATTTTTTTTAATTGAATCTAGAGATCTGTTAGCCAAAAGCGATAATTTGCTTCCTTTTTGTCCATTCTTATTCTCTCAACTTTTTTTTTTTTGGTCTTATTGCTGTAGCTAGGATTTTTAGTACTACGTTAAATAACAGTGTTGACATTGGACATCTATGATTTATTTATTATCTTATTAGAAGGTCTCTGGTGTTTTCCCTTTAAATATATCCCAGCTCTTGGTTTTAGATAGACACTTTTTTATTTTAAGGAATGGTACAGTTTAAAATGTCATTTAATTTTTTTTACATAAATAAGTGTTGTTATTTTGTCAAAAACTTTTTGGGTTCACCTATTTTTATTGTTTTTGTTACTATTATATTACATCATTTTGATAGATTTCCTAATATTGAATCTACCATCCTGCATTTCTTGAATAAATGCAACCTGATCACAGAGTACAAATAAATGCAATTATGGCCTCTTTGCTAATATTTTATTTAACATTTTTGTATTGATAGTCATTAGTTATACTTTGCTATCATTTTCTTTCTCTGTTTCATGTCTCCCTGGTCTTGTTAACAGAAACGCATTTGTCACATAGAAAAAGTTTAGTAGGATGCCATATTTATTTTTGCATACAATCTATATAATGTTAGAATTAACTGGGGTTTTTTTTGGTATGAGAGAATTAATATTAAATTCATCTGGTCTTGGGATTTCTCCTTTGGGAGTTTCTTTATGGTAGCTTAAAATTATTTTTCTGTTTTTAGTTTACTGAAAGTCTCTATTTCTTGTGCGGTTAATCTGAGTATTTTATATTTTTGTAAACACTCATTCATTCTGTTTGTTAGCAGTTTTGTTGGGAGATATTTGAGCAGAATAGTTCGTAACAGTCTCCCTTACTTCCCCTTCATTTGTTGTAATTCTTTTTCATTTTTATAGGCACCTAGATGGTACAATGGAAAGAGCACTGGAGCTGGAGTCTGGAATATCTGAATTCAAATTTAGTCTCTGACACTCATTAGATATATGACCCTGGGCAAGTTACTTAAACTCTGTCTCAATTTTCTAATCTATAAAATGGGGAGAAAAGTAGCATCTAACTCCCAGCATGGTTGTTAGGATAAAATGAGATATTTGTGAAGCACTTTGCAAACTTAAAAGTGCTATATAAATGCTAAGGATGTTCTACTTTTTGATAGTGGCACTTTAAAATATCAAATTAGTTAAAGGTTTATATATTTTATTTTTTTAAACAGATCTTAGCTTTATTAGTTCAATAGTTTTTTGTTTCCAATTTAGTTTATCTCTTTGGGATTTTAAAAATTTCTTTTTAGTTGGGGCAGCTAGGTGGCGCAGTGAATAGAGCACTGGCCCTGAAGTCCAAAGGACCTGAGTTCAAATCAGGTCTCAGACCAAACACTTGACACTTACTAGCTGTGTGACCCTGGGCAAGTCACTTAACCCCAACTGCCTAAAAAAAAACAAACCAAAAATATAGATAATTTTTGGGGCAGCTAGGTGGCGCAGTGGATAGAGCTCTGGCCTTGAAGTCAGGAGGACATGAGTTCAAATCCAGTCTCAGACACATGACACTTACCAGCTGTGTGACCCTGGGCAAGTCACTTAACCCCGATTGCCTCACCAAAAAGTAAAAACAAAAACAAAAACAAAAAAACAAACGCTCACAAAAAAAACAATTTCTTTTTAGTTGCATGCTCGGTTAA